TCCTTATAGGAAACCTTAACAGGGAAATATGGTGAGGACTCCAAGCTAATTTATGATCTTGCAGACCAAGGAGGAGAGTTGTTATCATTGAGATATGACTTAACAGTATCTTTTACAATTGAATTGTGGAAAGTCTGTTTTCAAGGGAGATGATAATTTGCTTTTCTGGCATTTGAAAGTGGGGTAAGTTTCAATTGGCTCCAAAAGAATGGAGCACTTTGATTGACTTAAGGTTTGTTGTAAATGTTTTTGGCTCCTTAATAAAGCTCTCAGGTACCATTTGCAAGATACGTTGCTATGAATAAAATTGACAAAATGAAAAGATATCATATTGCCAAAGTGTATCGGAGAGACAATCCAGCCATGACAAGAGGACGTTACAGGGAATTTTATCAATGTGTAAGTAGCATCATAATTATCAAATTGTTACACTATTCAAAGTTAGACAGGAAAAATAGAGGCGGCAGATATGATCTTTGTCCACAATGAGATCAGATATGGCTTTTCCTTGGCTGCAATGTGCAAAAGCCTGGCCTTTTGTGAAACGGTTTCTTTCTGTTCATCATGTTTATCTCTCTTTATCACTTGTAGTTTTATCTAAGCTTATCCTGCTCTGCTAAGAAATCACTCACTATTAGGAAAATTTTGTCATCATGGCTGTTACATTTCTTCAGGATATTGACATTGCTGGGCAATATGATGCTATGATTCCTGATGCAGAATGTGTAAAGATTGTATCAGAAATACTTACAGACTTAAAACTTGGAGACTTCACCATCAAGGTATCGCTTCTAATAGTTTTTAATGCTAAGAGATGCATTTGCCTGATTGTTGAAAACTTTATTAAGAATTTAATCTATGTGGCCATTCTTGGGTTTTATTGAACAGCTTCTCAGTGCTTTTGTTCTGACTGTTCCAGGTGAATCATCGTCAGTTGCTTGATGGCATGTTTGCTGTTTGTGGGGTGCCTGAGGAGAAGTTCCGATCAATTTGTTCTGCTGTTGATAAACTGGACAAGGTGGGTTAATTCAAGCAAAGAATAGATTTATTATACAAAGAAATATGTGGCTAATTATGAATAACGAAAGGCTGAGTATTTTGTTCTTGTGTCTCAAAAGTTGGAAAGTGTCAAACATTCTGAATTTCTCGAAAGGATTTTAAGCTCTGCTCTATCAACTGAGCTACAGAGACCTTATCAGCATGCTAAGTGGAAAATGAGTGAAAAGGTTATTCAATAGAGAAAGATGAAGATTGTTGGTCTCAAATGTGGCACTTTCTTCCTCTCAACTGAAAATCCTTTAAATATCTGTACTGTTTTGTTTCTTCACTACACACAGCTTCCTTGGGAAGAGGTGAAGGCTGAAATGGTGGGAGAGAAGGGACTGGATCACAGTGTGGCAGACAAGATAGGAGAGTATGTGAAGCTTAAGGGAGGAATGGAATTAGTAGAATCACTGTCAGCAGATGAAGCTCTCAGTGAAAACAAGAGTGCCAAGGCTGCATTAGATGACATGAAACTTCTTCTCCAATTTGTGGGATTGTTTGACATCACAGATAAGGTTAGTTCTACGAGCAGTGACATGTCATTATGATAGGTTTCTGCAACCTCTACTCTGTGTGCAGTCATTATTGTATCAGTCCTGTTTATATTTATGCATTTCATCTTGGCAAGAAATATTTTCTCAAGAATTCACTTGAACACCTTAAAAGAGAGAGGGGTCATGTTTTGTTCTTTGAGAAAAATTTATTCCCATTTCAGGTGTCATTTGATCTGAGTCTGGCCAGAGGATTGGACTATTACACTGGTGTGATATATGAAGCAATATTAACAGGAAAACAACCAGATTTAGGAAAAGCAGCTAAAGGTAAAACTTAATGTACTGTACAACATAATCACTAACATTAATAACAAATCAGAGGTTCAAAATTGTAAAAGTAAGAAGATTTACTACGAAAAGATGTTATCAGGGCTGATGTTAGACAAAGATTATTTATCAGCAATGATAGTGCAAAACAGTTTCATCCATTTTCTTTAGTCCTGAAAGGTCATCTGATGCTGTCCAAGAAACAGTGATCACTGTAGTTGTCATAAATCAGTCTTATTCCATGATTGTGTTTTTTGTTAGGTGAGCCTGTAGGAGTTGGGTCGGTGGCTGGTGGCGGTCGCTATGACAACCTGGTCGGAATGTTTGATCCCAAAGGGAGGAAGGTGAAACAGTAGCTTATTACACGTGACGGATCCTTAGTGGTTATCACTTGTCAACTACGCTCATTCACACTTAAAGTACTTAGTTTGAAATTAATCATTGAGTTTTTCAACGACTCTGAGGATAGTGACGAGTTTTGAGCCTTAACTGAGTGCTCTCTTAAGAAGTGGCGTATGTTAAATGAAGCTCCATAATTTTTGTCCCATCTCACCGCGTACCGCATGTAACTACTGTTGATTTGTTTTTTCAGGTGCCTTGCGTTGGAGTTAGTATAGGAATAGAAAGAATATTTTCCATTCTTGAGGCTAAAGCTAAGGTAAAAATGGTATTTAAATATTAATTAAGGCGCTTCTTAGTTATTTCAAGGCGGACTCCCTCACATCTAAGTTATTTTAAATAGCTGACTCACTGAAGATTTCACAGAAGCTTCTTCTTTTCGTGAAGAATTTATTGAAGACTGAGGAAATTTACTTTTGAGGAGCTCCATTGACATTAGTTGTGATGTGTTTCAAACTTGTGGTTTGTGTTTCAGGCAGCAGGTAAAGTGCGGACAACTAAAACACAAGTATTAGTGGCGTCGGGACAAAAAAATCTCTTGCCTGAACGATTAAAACTAGTCAACCAGTTGTGGCAGGCAGGAATTAAGGTAAAGATTTCTCAAGGATAGTAATTATCTTAAAGTAGGCAGACCTTGTTGAGCTGAGTTTTTGTAATTTGATCGGCATGAACACAAGACTTTTCTATATTTAAACTTTTGTGTTTTGAATTGGTGAAAAGCAAGGATTTTCAACTGACTACTGCGCGTGCTCTTGCAATCAGTTCAACGACTAACTTGTTGTGGAAAGGTAGTGAAATGAACGATACTGGTCTACCATCCAGAAAAGCTGTCAGCTCATTTATACTTCATTTGGTATGGCCTTTTTTCCACATTTTTGAATCCCAACTGATGAGATTCCAAGGGCAGGCAAGACTGAAACATATGTCAAGCTTTGGTTGGAACTCGACTGAATCTTTCATCGCTCGCTTTGTTCTTGACCCCCTTGTGAACGTTCGTGGTTTTTTCCCCCGTATTTCAAGTAGCTTGCATGAGAACTCTCATTCATAGCTAACCATATTGTCTTTTTATCTTGTTTCTTCATTTTTCGTAGGCTGAATTACTCTACAAGAAGAATCCCAAACTGCTGAATCAGTTTCAGTTCTGTGAAGAAAATGGAGTCCCGTTTTGTGTGGTGATTGGTGAAAGCGAGCTCCTGCAAGGAGTTGTAACTCTTAGAGACATGGCTTCCAGAGAAGAGGTCAGAAAATGTTCTTACGAAAATATCTTTCGTGCTTTTTGCTTTATACTTTGCTTCTTAACACTTTTCTAGATGCCTCACTGAAACGTTGATTATATTTACCATTTTCAGGCTCTAATAAAACGGGAAGAATTGTGTGATGTGATCAAAAGACGGTGCACAGTAATTGAAGCAGAATCAGAATAAAAAGTTAACAAGTTTGAAAAGACATTGAATTCCAAACAACTGCTTCCTTAAAGACGAAAACTTAGCACAATAGCAAATAAATTTAAGAGTTTAACCAGAAATAAATCGCACCTTGCTGCTCCCTTGTTTTCAGGGTTGAATTAACGCAAATGCAGTGTACACCTGAAGAAAGAAAAGACAATAAATAGGTTCTTCTAACTAATTGCCTGTTAATTTTATGCATACGTGGAAATAAATATTACCTCGTCTTGTGTGAGACAGCTCTCAGCAGCTTAAGTTTCAGTCTCGTAGTAAAGTGTATTGTCATAGACCCGTCCGGCCCCGCCCACTGATTCCTCTAGAAAACAGTAATGGGAGCTGACGTTTGTAGGGCCAGACTCATTATCGTGAGCACGCGCAAACGTTAAGTTTTCCAGGACTCCTGCTTCCCCATTGTTGCAGTCCTTCCCTGAAACGCAAATTAGGATAAAAAGAGCATAAGGTCAGAAAATAACTTTCTCAATTAGTGCGAAGGAGCCGGTTCTATCGTGGTCAGTAAGAGCAATTACTCACAAAACACACCACATCTTTCGGTAGGTTGTATTTGGTTGTGTTACGAGTTTGAAGAATGTTGTAAACTATTTCAGAGAGGGTTCCGTTTAGTTCGAAACGGGAACTTCTTTCCTCTATCATGTTAGGGCGAGAACGAGATGTTAGAGAGGTAAATCCTTGTTACACGCCACAAGCACCCAGTTTGTCGTGTTAGAAACGTAATCTAAAGTGCTTCTTTTTTCAGTTTTCTCTTTGTGGTTGTGGTCTTGTCATGTGAGTCGTATGCCATTGATTAGAATTAATGTGACGTTTTCTTATTAGCACTTACTACACCTGCTGAACTTTGCATGTAAAACTTGTCTAGTTCATATTTGCATGTTAAGTGTTTATATTAAACCCTTCGATCACTGATTCTGTACTTTAATTTTCATTCAAACTGAATGCGATCCTTCCGGTTTCCACTGGAGATAAACACCTCAATAAAATCATATCTCCATTTGAACGTCCTCCGTTTTACTTTTAGGAACCGAAATACCGCCGAAAACTCAGTTTAAAAAAATTAGCTAGCGTAGCAACGCAGTTTAAAGATGCCATGATGAAAAAAGAAAGTGGGTCAAACTTGTGGATGGACAATGGGATAAGTGCCCAGGAAATGGAAATTACAGCCATTAAGTGAAAAACACTCACAAATTTGACAAAAACTTATCCAATGAGATATTCTCATCAATGCAAATATTGCCATCGTCAATATCTCCCGTCCATTATCAGGGATGAATAATTTCTTTCTGCAGAATTATTCTGAAGGAAATCAACATGTGCGTGCTAACATCTGTTTCCTGACTGACAAGCGTCGCTTTGTTTTGAACACTGAGTTGATTTTGTGAACTGAAAGTTGAATACCGTGTTGTGAATGAGACTGAAATGGGAACTGGAGGAAAAGACAAAGATGGAGAATCAGCGCAACTTGTGGGAGGATCTAAAGACTTAGAATCGGGTGAAGAAGATGATTCCATTGACAAGTGTAAACCTGAGAAAAAAGGCTTCGGTGCTAAGTGTCTGACTTGTTTTCGCGGTTGCTTTGGATTCATCTTGTTCCCGTTCGTGTTTATTATCACGTTCATAGCTTGTCTTGTCTGGATTATTCTGTTACCAGGTTTGTTGACAATTTGAACTGATATTTTCGGTGCTTTTAAGCCGTATTACTAATTCTAAATGCCGACCATAATAAAAGCAAACGACACCGCCTGTTTTTTTTTTGTCTCGTTTATTAAAGGTTCAAAGGACGGATGATGAAATTGTGTTTTATCAAACATATAAACTTTTAACAGCCATCTTTTAGGAATTTATTGAAATGAATTTTTGGACGGCCAGAAGATCTTAAGTGTACGTTCTCCGCTAATACGTAACCGATCATATTTTAAAACAATAGACTCGTCTTGAAAGAGGCTTCATTGTTTGACGAAAAATACACCGCTGGGTTTTCGCTGCGAACGTTAACGTCAATGCTGATTACGACAATAACAAAAAATAACAAGAGCTATTTCAAAATGGTAGAAAAAGGCCTTTTTCACCAATATTCCAAGAACACTTTTCCAATCCAAACTTACGCGATTGGCGTGTTTTTCCATTTGAATAGTATCAGCTGCCAGCTCCTAGAATTGAAATAACCTAACAAATAATATTCGAAAATGCTTTAAGTGATTCAGTTTATTTCTCATGGAAATAAATATCTCTCTTCGTTTTTCAGCTAAATGTTGTTCTCCCTGCTGCGCTCCACTATTTGACTGGCTCGTTCAACTTCTGATGCTGCCCGTTCGGTTTTATCGTTGGGTACTTGGAAAAGATCGAGACGAAACTAAACAATAAAAGAATATATCAAAGATCGTGTTCCATTCAATTTAACACTTAATGTTTACAATGCCTCGTGCAGCATTCAAGTGTAAAAGTACAAGAGGTGTTTCATCCCAAAAAGATGTATTTTGAAATTGGTTCCAACTTCCTTCCGGATGATATTTCAGTTACAGAGGGTCAAAGGAGCTTTCTATTCCTTACACTTTTAAGCCATTTTTTAAACCCTTCTTCAGGCAGTTGAACCTCCGATTTAATTTCAGTCTTCTCTGAACAATGCTCTGGGAGTATATTTACTTAATTCCGTATAGAAAACGTATATGATGAAATTTGACTTTTGAAAGCAAAACCTTTACCAACTGAGATATGCTGAAAGACGTTTGCCTTCCTTAGTCCATAAAGCTACGCTACGGCCGGTCAACGTACACGAAAATAAGAATTATATGTCATAGGCCTAAACCAGCAAATCTACGACAATCCCCTCCTCCTATCAGCCTCATTTTGTCATGAGTTTTGTCCATCCTATCTGTGTTTCAAGTTGTGTCTGAGAGCGAATACCCTGGGAACAAGTTCTACAGAATAAGCCTCCTCGCGTAGTACCATATTACCCCTATAGACTCGAGGATATTCGTCAAACTGAATTCAGATGAATTTTTTACTCCATTTCTCAGATCTGATTTCTTTGAGTCTGTACAATCCTTTAAATTTATTTTTCTCAGTCTGAGATCAAGACCGGTTCCAAAATTATTTGCTGGTTCCAGGATCCGCTCTTTATGCCCTTGCGTCAAGATTCACTATACGAAGCTAAAAGGGCTGACCGGTAGAACTTTTTCCCAAGGTCCCTTTTGCCCGACACAAATTGAATCGGAAATTAAATGGAAAAGATTTGCGACAGAGCGGATCCGACCAAGAACAAGGAAAGTCACATGGATTTGATTAAAACTAATGAAGCAGTATGCTTAGAATGCTTAATGTGATGAACATTGAACTGTAGGCAGCGTATAAGGCCGTGACGAACGTAAAATTATGAAATTACGATGAAACAACTGAGCAAACAATTCACAGTTCTCACCGATCAAAGAACAACAAGTCAAACAGTTTCTTCATTCATTTAATACCTTTTACAGTGCTACGCACAATCACAGGGTATGTCGTGTCTGGGGCTACCTGTTAAATCTTTTAACGAAAATATTTCGCATGATTAAATACGTATCATGTTGAAGGTAAAAAGAAAGGAATTCCCACCAATCTATTTATCTGAGAGTTCATCTCGAGAAGAATCGTCGTCGTCCATTAAATCATTTTCGTCATCATCATTTTCGTTCTCGTCAGCATCGTATTCTTCTTCTTCTCCTTCGTCTTCTTCTCCTTCGTCTTCTTCTTCTTCTTCTTCTTCTGTTTCTTCTCCTTCGTCTTCTTCTTCGTCTTCTTCTTTTTCTCCTTCTTCCTCGTCTTCTTCTTCTTTTTCTTCTTCCTCTTCCTTCTCTCCTTCCATCTCTTCTTTGTCTTCTTGTTCGTCATCCTCATCACCTTCATTGTCCTTAAGGATGTCATTGAGTTCTTTATTTTTCTCCTCCTTGACCATCGTAGCGGGGCTGTTGGAATCTTCACCAACCGATTTAGCATAGGCCAATGTTGCCAGCAACGAAACGAATAACGCGAATAGCAACCTCATGACTCCGAATGTTGATTATTTCTTTTTTCAAAAAAGATGTACCTTTGACTTCCCTTTTGAGTAGTTAGGACGCAACTGGTGTATGATGTAAGAGTAAAGATTTCAGCCCATTTTATGCGAGCGCTTATTGATTTTTCTAAGAAAAACGTACCAAAAAACAAACAAGAAAAGCAAATACTATAAAAATAGGATTAGTAAGTGCGAAAGGTTACTTTTTCAGCTTGTTGTATAAGTTTGCACACCTTATCCCGCTCATCTTGAACTCAAGTTTTGCGTGGAAAACGGGTCCTGCAACGTCATGAGGTACTTGAAAACTTTCTTGAAAATCAAAAATCATTACCTGTAAGCCTGAAAAAGCAATTGGAGTTATTTTGATAAGAACCAGATTTCATCCGATTGATAGACTTAATCATGGTATAAGCTAAGATTCTTTTTTGTATAGATACGTTAGAAATTTAGAGGAAAACTCACCTTGGACTGAAACTTGGAAGGGAAGCGTGGGTTCACTTGAAGCGTTGATTAATGTCGTCTATTCTGAGATTTGTGTGGGTGTGTGGGAGGTGTGAGATGAAACATATACGATTTCGCAGAGCACTCATAAATAAATTAATTAAGATAACTTTAAACGCTTGCAGGTCACAGCTAAAAATCAGCTGAGCTGACTTTAAAATTGAAACTTCACCGGCATATAGCAAACGACAAAAAGTAGTTCAGACGTTAAATCTGTAACAAGAGCAACAGCACATCAAACTAAACAGCGGACTTTAAATGAATTTTGCTCCGAAGACTGTTTATCTACCTCATTTAAACAGATGCTTGGTCTTGAAACTAAATCTTGACACTTGAATTATTTCGCTTTATTGCTGAACACGAACGTGATGAGAAATCTTTGAACAGTTTTAGGTAATCAAGCGAGGTTATTCAGTTGATATACACCGTGGTATAAAACTTGTCAGTTTAGAAGGGAAGGTACTAATAGCCGAGGTGCGAGGGATTAACAGAGGGTGTTGATTTCCCAGCCATGTCACCTATCTCTGAGAACCAAACAGGTGTTTGACAAACTTGTCAATCTTAAGCGCATAATGTTTTCCTATACTGGGTTAGCTTTGATCAAGTCTTGACCAGTAGGGAAAGTGCGACCAGGCAACGAATTTCGTTTGGCTCAAAAAACTTCATCGCCATCCACAAATGCTGGAAAAGCACCGAGTTACATTATCTCTATCTTGCCGTAAAATGGTTTTAAAATTACCATGTAATACCAAAGGTTGCCGAAAAATTTATTCAGCGATTCTTTCATGTCCTGTAAAGTATATGAAACTCTATAATTAAGGATTAAGAAGCAGTAATTGTCCCGTACCTACACTGTACGGGAATCTAACTCGTGATTCCATTGACTCGCCTCTTCGTTGATTGCCTAGATCGCATGTTTTTCACGCATTAATAGGGATTTTTTTCCTTTTCTAAAATTTTATGAAGTCTTATCGATATTTGTAGGGCCAACATCAGTTCGTGTTTCATTAACTTTCCTTAACTTTCTGATTTTGGATTTATCTCAATACATGGCCATTTCTGGATAATGAATATGAAATCAATTTTCCATTGCTGTTCTTGTTGTTCTGTCTAAAACTGTCCTTCAGTCATGCAGATCAGTTCCAGCATTTAAGAGGCAGGCCTGCAGTTCGCGACCCACAGTTAATTATACTTCTAGAATTATTCATACGTCACTCTGCTATGTGTGATACATGAGACCCGTTTCTCGAAAATCTCGTTGCTAACCGTTACTGCCGGAAAAGCTGAGTTTTGTTTGCCGTGTTCAAAGTCAAAGTCGACTTGTTAAGTAAGACGAAAAATATGGACCGATTTTGAGGTAAGATTCATTTCCTTATTCCTTAGATTAAGATTTTTGAAGATTTTTCCAGGTCTGTAAAGTTCCCACGAATTTTCAAGAAACAAGCCCCATCTGCACATCCTCTCTAATAGGCAGTGCCTTGTACTCTTTACCGACGTCACGGTTTCTTACGAAGTACGGCGATGTAAATCTATTGAAATACGATTTTATAAGAAGTTGATGCACACACAAGTCAAAGTTGAGCTAAATTACGTACCATTTCAAACTTCACACAGAGCACGATTCGTGCGCTGTAAATAATTCATGCGGTTGCTTCAGCCAGTAAGATTCTAGAACATCGTGCTGCGTTCGAGACTTGAACATTAAAAGAAATTATAACTCTTTTCTGTTGATTCTTGTCTGTTTATTCCAACTCTGAATATTATATGTCCTTTATAAAGCTTGAGAGGAGTCGCTAAGTAAACTTCGCTTCTTTTTGCTCATGTGCAAATGTCCGACACATACATTATGATTACAGAACCCCATAATAAATAAAATTACTTGAACCGACACCAAGATGCTGCGGTTCAAAAGACGCTCCTTTGTACGGGCTAAATAAGCGTGCGTGAGCCGAAAGATTATGGTCCGAAATCAAAGGGCTTAAATGTATCCATTTGTGTTCAAAATAGGGAGAGGTTTTGCCCATTCTACAACCTAAAGCCTTGTGTTGGAGTTTGATCAAACCAGCAAGATATATCATCTTTCAGCAGGAGACGGTGATTGTGAAGTAGTTCTATCACTGAGCTTGGGGAAATATTTGCAGGGATGGAGACAATGTTACCTTTAGAGACCACTTTGTTTTCATGTGTCTTTTACCTTATTGTTTAGACGGAATGTGCATGAATGTGTGACAGAGACATGAGGGGAAGAAGAGCAAATGAAAGGAAAAGGAAGAAAGAGACCCTGGAGATGTTTAACATATTTCAAGAAGCACCTTAAAGGAGAGGGATCTGGTATGTAGATGTTATATTGTTGATGGTCAAACAGAAAGGACTTGTCAGGAATCTTTGTTACTTAAAAGCTTAGACTGAGTAGAATGATAAAAACTTGAAGTTGAGACATGCTCTCAGTTATTGATTTAATTCGGATCGCAAATAACAACTACATATATATTGATGAAAGTACGGAAGCTTTTTACGATGAAAAAGAGTTGCACTGTAACTTAGGAATGAAACTGTCGGTTCAAGTTGCCTCCCCGCACAAGAAGGAATCAAAATCATCACAGGAATCACAGTTTTCCTTATGCAGTGACAGAGTTCATCATTTAATATCTTTGTTGGTATACATTTAGTTTCGTTCTCCAAATTATTTATACTTGCAATTCAAATTCGGCTTCCACCCCTTATGAATGTAACTTCCATAGGGAATGGGGCGCATCATGTCATGTAATCCTTTTACTCTGAAGATCAAAAAGCTAACTTTCCCTACTGAAGGCTATACATTGTTATGTTATCAAGTCTTGGGAGATT